TTTTTTTTTGATTTTTTGAGTTTCATTATTTTTGTATAAAAGTATACCTCTTCATCTAACAAATACATACTCAGACTTTGTACAAAAATTATTAAAATTCCACAAACTTTCCATCCCAATTCCAAGCATTTTAATTTTAATTGGTAGAAGAATTTTTGGTATGCAGTTTTATAGCTTATTAAATTCTAGCATAACGAAGTGCAAGTTCTAAGTTGCTTAAAAATGCACCCTTTTCCATACAAAAAAGTGTTTTGTATTGAAGAAATGTGTGATACCATCAGAAATTATCAAAAAGCAACGCGATTTTTTAGAAACTTAAAACTTGCACTTCATTATATTAGAACTTAATAAACTATAAAGCTGCATACCAAAAATTATTATACAAATTAAAATTAAAATGCTTGGAACTGGGCTGAAAAGTTTGTCGAATTTTTATAATTTTTGTAGAAAGTCTGAAATTTAGATTTATTTTAAATAAAGAGCTACTTTTATACAAAAATAATGAAGCTTGAAAAAGGCAAAAGAAAAGTAGTCAAAACTGGTAAAAACATTGATGTGCTATCGTTTGTGGAGGGGGTAGTCTTGGATTTTTGACAACGAAACAAGATTTTACGAACCATTCGTAAATATAACGTAGGAACTTTCGTAAGGCATTTTTTAAGTCAATTTACGAAACCTTACCTTTATTTTACGAAACACATTCGTAAATTACTGAACAAATCTCTGTACGAATAATTTTGGATAGTTCTAAAATTTACGAAATCTGCAATTCTATATTCGTACAATTTACAAAATATTTTCGTACATAGTACTAAAGCAGAAACATGTTTTTTAAATTGGTACAACATACGAATTTCGTACAATATACTAAATTACTGGAAGTTTAATATTTCATCATATTTTTATGTACCGCGTGTCATTGTGAAATTATTGATTGGCGGCTGTGAGACGTATAATGTAATTTTAAACGTTTTAAAAAGGGATGCTGGATAAAAATACAATACAAAATTAAATATTAAACCTGTGGATATATGCTTTTAAGCATACAATAGGGGTATTCTCGAAGTCTTGCACGATGCACGGATTGCACGAAATGAAAAAATTTTATTCCAAATTTGGAAGAGTACGAGAGCACCCCATTGCAAAGTGGTAGCATATATAGGTAGCAAGCAGCGAAATTCTGTACCAAATACAATACAAGAGACAGCATAAAAAAATTAAGTGAGCTGGATGAGAGGAATGAAAGAAATATGTAGCAATTCCAACAACAAAGCAACTAGCACAGGGTCGCATTTATTTTTCTATGCTTCTTTGCAAAATACAGTGAAACCTCTCCTAACGGACACCTCTATTGGACGGACACCTCCCTTGGGCGGACATTTTTTCCTATACCAAGTTTTAAGTATAAATTTCAGAACAAATCACTCTCTCTTAAGCGGACATTCTCTTGGCCGGACGCGGACAGTTACTTTTCATAAAATTTGCACAAACCCCTCTATTGAGCGGACGCGAACGTCTTATCAACGGACATGATGATTTCTTTTCATAACAAATCAAACAAAAACCTCTGTTGGGCGGATGCGAACTCCTCATAGGCGGACAAAATATAAAAAATATTAGTGAGCAGTTACTTACATACATACTTGCTAAATGGAAAAAGCGGACTCCCGGATAAAATGTGATATTTTTTCATACACACATGTAGTTTGGTTTGCGCAGTGATTTGTGTTTAGTTGTAGCGGATATACGAAATACGATGGGGAGATCAAACCTTAGTGTGAAGGAGAAAATTGAAATTATTAACGCATATCAGGAAAATAATTTGTCTGTCAGGGCATTAGCCAGTAGGTAAGTTTTACTTATCAAATCTCGGAAACATAATTTTTTCAGATAAAAAGTCGTTTATTCAATACATTTTGTAAAATGTCATCACTGAGTCTCTGTATGAAATTTTAAAAGAAATAAGTCCAATTTTCCTTATTAGGTTCAACATTGGAAAAACAGAGGCTGTGCTTATCGTGAAAAATAAAGATATTATTCGGACAAAATGGATGGGTGGGGACAATGTCGAAACAAAAAGGTCATTTAAGAATGTAGATGTTAAAAAAATTGATTAAACGTGTTTTGACTGGTTTCGCAAAGTCAGAAACCAAAGTATTCCCATATCTGGGCCAGTAATACAGGAAAAGGCAAAATAAATCGCCGAAAAACTTGGCGTAAACGATTTTGCAGCTTCTTAGAGTAACTGCAGTGGAGAACACGTGCACCGAAGTTCTTACTCTTCGCAGTGAATTGATCGTTGTCCAGACTCACATCTGTGCTCTAGAAAGTAGTGCAGTTTCCACAGATGTAATAATCAACGGGATCCCACAAACGTGAGGCTTTTCGCATACAAAGTGCAAAAGACAACAAGCAAAAAATCAGCAACATTTGCCCTCTTGTTAAGCTGCTCTCTGCGCATGACCGCATCGATGTCTTAAAATCTATTGCTATTTTCTGCAAGTCAAAAAAGAGATCGCTAGCGCTCTCTGACGTTGATATGCCGGGCTATGGATTGATTTATTTGCATAAGAGTCTGCCAAAAATGCTGCGTGACGTGATGGCATATGCCTCTGAGCTTAGACGGAAGAAAATATTGGTGTCAGCGTTCTCCATTCGTGGGAAAATTTTTGTGCGACTTAAGTCAAACGAAGAGCCTAAGCAAGTGAGCAGCAGATCCGAGATTAATTCTCTTACCAGCACTGAAACGCAATAGCAACTACATATACACATAAACCGTATGTTAGGCTTAGATTTTTACTTTATGTTTTTTCCAACTTGTGCAAGCTCAGAAATTAAGTCAGTTATGTTATGTATTTTCTCTTTCATTTCGAGCCTAGTTCCCTTCATTTATTATTTGTTTACTATTTTCTTTGTGAATTTCACACAATTTCTCTTACTCTCCGCCCATGAATGTTTTTGTAACTTTCGGCTATTTTCCTATTATGCTATATTCTTTTCTACTTTGATTTATTTCAATCACATGCATTTATGTTTTTATATGTTAAATGCACTTTGTAGTTGCTCTTTCTCTAGCTCAGTATGTTTGGAATAAACCCCGCTAGGAATTCTGCTTCCAGCATTGAGGAGCCCCATAAGACTTTAATTAATATTATGTGTAAACAGTCGAGTGGCCTTAATGTGGTGCATTTTAACGCGCGAAGCCTTAGCAGGGATAAACTGGACTATGTTAGGAATATTTTTGTGGAGTCTGGCGTTGATGTTATCTGCGTCTCAGAATAATGGTTCAATCCTAATATTTCGGACTTGTAGTATCACATCCCTAACTATAATCTTGTGCGGTGCGATCGAACAACTAAGAAAGGGGGAGGTGTTGCAATTTATTGCAGATCTACTCTAAAAATGAGGCTTTTAGCAGTATCGCATAACTCTGATACTGAATTCATTATTGTTGAACTTTCGGACGGTGTGACAAAGATACTAGTGTCTTGCGGGTATAACCCCCATAGGTGTTGCGTGTTAGATTCGTTTTTTGTTGAGTTATCTATGTTTTTCAATGAATATGACCGTTACGTTATATGTGGTGATTTCAATGTTAATCTCCTCTTTAATGACTCTTATGCAACTAAGCTACTTGACCATGTATCTGCTGCAGGTCTTGAGGTAGTCAATAAACTCGTACCAACAAGATATACCAACAATTCGCATCCTAGCCTAGTAGATCTTGTTATCACCTCTAGTCTACACCATGTTCTTAAATTCGACCAAATGTTTTTTATTTCTGACCATGACCTAATTTTCTGTTCATTAGATGTTGCGTTTAATAGTACTGTTGAAAGTGTTACTTTT